AAATCAAATTACTTTCGTTTTGCACAGGATAAAACAAATGCACAAACAAACACTCACTTGTGTCACGTACTATATCTGTTCCAACTCTATTGCACAGGGATAATACATGTAACTGTAAGAAGACCAATAAATGTCGTCAATCTGAGGGGTTTTATTTCTCAGACTATATGATAAAAATTCAGAGCTGAAGGGCAAGAACTTGGGACTGTCTGAATAGAACCATGACAGTTCCAATTGTGTGATAGTTATACCCTCTGTCTCACTTAAATGGTTGCAATGCAATCCTTAATGTAATAAATGAATGGTACTTTGCGGAACGAAACGGAACGGAACGGAACAAGTTGTGGGGCACCCTAGGGGGGGCGGGGGAATAAAAATGAATATATTATATATAATAAAAATGAATATAATACGTTACTTTATTACAAATTATTTTGCCATTCCATTCTATATCTTAAGAAACCAACCCCAAAAAGAGTCAAATGTCTGAAGAAGAGGACCATAAAAAACTATGTCTATAAGTCATGAATTATTCTGTCGTTGAGTTTTTGATCTGCTGTGTCATCTGTAGTGACTATGTGAATTGTATTGAATGAAAGACGTACACCCATCAATGAAGTAAAAAATTATTAATGTTTTTCCTTCAAAGTTTATTGTCAATAGATTAAAAAGGATATCGTTCATCTGCAGTCGAAAGGTAAAGAGAGTTGTCGCGCTTTGCCAGTATGGTCATTCTCTGGTTCCGTTTCGTTCCACTAAATACCAATATCTGTGTGGGTATTAGTTAAGTTGGAATAAGATGATACACATACAAGCATTTTGTTGTTCATTTTATCACATCTTTTTAATTATTAAAAATTAAATTCAGGGGGGGGGATAAAATATAAGAGACAAGGATGTTTGAGGAGGAAAGTTATTCATCCATCATATATCCAGCACAATAAAGCATACTTTTTTACCTTTTAAACTTCTTCAAAAGTCTTGTCTATAAATCAGTTATACATGTATTATATGTACAAATACAATCGCAGACCTTGATGTAGATAAGAAAAGGTAAATACCATCTTTCTATCTTCAACTAAATCGATATGCAAAATAATTGTAACATTATTATGTAAAGTTATATTTCAAAACGCGTAATTTGTAATTTACTGTATGCTAACAAATATGTTTACTACTTGAACCTTGATTGATATCTTAAAACATTTAGTTCTGAGCTAATAAGAAAGGAAACACACACAACGGGTTCCGTTCAATTTCGCAAAATACCAATATCCACTACAATATTAGTACTTTGCGAAACGGAACGGAACTGTAATATAAAGGGTTTTAAAACCCTGTTAATGAACGACGTGAGATAAGTTTTGTGCCTTGCGTAACGTTTTCGTCTTATGTGTGTATTCAATCAGAAGGTACCCTAGAGGCACGTTACAATAATGGGTTCGAAGGTACCTTTGCTTAAGTAAAATTTAGATAGAACAAGTGTGATCAATTACAATCAATTTATTACATTAATCAAACAAAAAGTACAATACACAAGTTTAATATAATGTCCCAATCCACAGTGTAATGTACAATAATAATTATATCTAAAAGGCCACAGATGCGCGTTAGACTCGGTGAAAGGTGCTAACGGTTTAAGATGCTAGGTGCTACCGATTATACTGGGGCAAACTGGTTCTAGGTGTCCGGTGTTCAGGTGCCAGGTGCTACTGATATAAGCGAATTGGTTCTAAGTTCCATCTTTGCCTGACTGGTGCTATATAACCTTACTCGGTGTTAGGTGCTAGGTTTCCGCTGAAATGTACTAGGTCTAAACTCGGAACATAAATTCACAGAGTAACTCGGTGTAAGGTGCAAGCGCACCCGACTATCTCAATAATTCCGCACATGCTCAACTAAAGTCCACCACCCTAAATTTATAACTTCTGGTTATAGAATAACGTAATTTATGTTATTAAAGTAAAAAGTATGCCATGCAAATTTACGATCACCTCATATACATTCATGCAAAAGATAATTAATTCAAGTACGGTGCACTGTCGTAATTCAGTCAAACGGTGCAACTTCACACCGAACTAGAAGAACGGACTAAGTTTTACTTGTCAATAAAAATAGAATAAATACAAATTCAAACTGCTAACAAATTACAAACTTTAAATAACAACTATAACTTTACTGGGAGAGACAATTTTCTGTGTCTCCCAGGGTCAGAATCCCGAGTGCACCGACAATCTAAATATCGCTGAATTTAAATATCAAACAAATCTAAGTTTCTAAATATTCAATATTACTTCAAACTGGATAAATGTTGATTCTTACTGCGCTAAAACTTGTAATAAAACTATTTCAAAATATCTTAATACTTTAAAATTCTTACTAACATAAATACCTCGGATCAGGTGCACGGTGCTGTGCAAGGTGGAACTGCAAACGGAATTCTGACAAACGCACTTTCAAAATCTTGTCTTTTATACCTTGACGCAATGGTGCATCGTCT